CGTAGAAATATGCCTAAGATTCCTGAACATTAAATAGGTACTAGGTTTGGGTTTTAATAAACTTAAATACACTCAATCATAATGATGCTTGCTATTTGAATGTTTTAAACAAACGAATGGATTTAATCTTTTAAAATATTTTAGCAATTGAGATTAAATGTGTAGGATGAATTGGATATAGAGAATCCTTATTTAACGGTATAATAAAATATCATCATGTATAAGATTCAGTTTATGTAGGACATATGATATAGGAAGTTTAAAGAAATAATAAGTCATTCCTATTATGTGATAACTTGATATCATATTTATCATAGTTATTTATGGAATGTTTGATGTATTTCCTTAATTGTTACATCAATTATTGGATTGTGTGGTTTAATGCACCGGTATGGGACGGTGGCATTCTAGGGATGGATTAACTTATCATTTAAGTCCTACCTATTTTATATAAGGGAATGGATTAACAAAAATGTTAAGTCCTACTTATATTTAAGTCAGGTCAGCTGAACAAGTTGAATGACTTATGGAGGATTAATTTATTATATAAGGGAATGGATTAACTAAAATGTTAAGTCCTACTTATATTCAAGTCAGATCAGCTGAACAAGTTGAATGACTTATGGAGGATTAATTTATACTGGATAGGATGGTTACTAGATTATATATATATATAAGTATGGTGCCATGATATGAGCTTGAGTCTCAGGATCAATGGTTAGGGCGCGTATATCGCCAGGGATGTGTAGCTAAATATAGTGTAGTTGTGTACCCTGGTAGGTCTAGGTACTCATGCCCACTATATGTGCGTTTTGCATGTTGCCTACTATTCAGGTTGAGACAACCCTATAGTCTAGTAAGGTTCCTTTAATGTGCATAAATATATATATACGGACTACTAGTTACTATTGGATTGACTAGGATGTATACGTGTATCGGATCTTTGCTTGGACTGTAGTAGAGTAGAACTTGTTTGTGGGCCTGACCCACCATTATTTTTCAGGTGTTCGTCACGAGTAGAGGTTATTCGTGCTGAGTGGGGATCAGTCTACTTCATTCTTCCGATGCTACACAGGAGTTCCTTTATGATTCAGTTTCCTGTTTTAGATTACTGTCATTTGTTTAGTTTGGATTTTCTAGGGGTCCACACAGAATGGATTCCCGAGTTGTATTTTGGAGGATCAGTTGTATCAGAAGAGTTTATTAATTAATGGAAATATATTATGAGGTTTATTATTAGATTATCATTTTAGTTTCTTGTCAGCATTTTATTTATTCTTCTTTATTCTTTTGTACTCTGTGTTCGTTTATTATCAATTTGTTTTGACATCCTCGGGTATTCGGGCGTGGGTCTGGCCAACCCGTATTCGGAAATTCGAGGGTATCAGAAAATGTCATTTTGTAGCTTTATATGTCAATATTTGTGTATTTGATTCTAAATACGTAATGTGTGCCTAAGCACACCTTTTGACTTTCATTTTATGTGTATGACATAAGGCCGAGGGCCAAGCACGTTTATATTAGCACTTGTACTCATTTGGCGCCATATTTTGTTTAAAAAATGTAATTTTTCCCAACTTTTGAGGTTTAGCATGTAAAATCTTGTAAATGAAATATAATGAGGCCGTAGGCCATTGTAACGCATCTAAAATACCATATTACACTTACGTGCATATTAACATCACCACACAATAGAGTATAATGTAAATTGATCATGCTATGGGGGATGCAAATGAGACTTAAAAACTCTTTTCGGCCTTGGTGCATAATAGGCCCAATTTTCACATTTTCGACCTGTTTCGGTCAACCGGTTCATTATTCAAATTGATTTGAACAGTATTTTGTCAATTCCAATAGCTAAAGTTTAGTTTAGGTCCATTTCGGTCAGCTGGTGGCTCATTTCAATCGACCTAAATGGTTCATTTCTTTGTTATTTAGTTTTTGGACAACACTGTTACTCTGACTTCAAAAGGTCATAACTTCTTCATTTCTAATCCAAATGGGGTGATTCTTGAGCCTAAATTCAAGGATTTTGAGTCAGTGTTCCAATCATACCAATGCCATTCCCAAATTCAAATCACAGTGGGATTTATTTATTTTTTAGTGAGACAGTGTTAGTTTTCGCTTAAACCGGGAATGGGCGCCTTGTGGGATTCTTGGCCAAAGTTCTTAGAACCTCTTGAAATGTTATGAAATGATTAGTTTAGGTTGTATAGACCTCATTTGACTTGCTTAGAGTCAAATCTCCATTCTCATTTGTAAATTGACCATTTTGCCTCTTGGTTAATGGATTTTGCCCGTTTTGACCTTTGTTTCCACTTTTGTTCTCTTTGAGTTTCATGACTTCATGAAAAGTCACTTGGGTGTCTTAGAGATGATTAATATCTCTATAAACCTTGTTTCTATTTTACTTCCGCATTTTTTGATCCGGTTCAGGTTATCACAAAACACACTAGGTTGAAAAATCCAGAGTCGTTACAATTTTAATATTTTATTACTAAATTTTTATACACTTGGGTAAGGCTGCAAATTGGGCTAGACCAACCCAACCTCAATCCAAAATCGGGTTGGGTTGGGCCAGCTCGAATTATACACAAAGTAAGTTATTCCATAACCAGCCCGAATATTTTGAACGGGTCGAGCGAATTTCATGGATCAATATTTTATTATTATTATTTATTTTTTTACAAATATGGAAAAAATAAATAAATAAAACTTGAAATTTTTGTAATTTTTTGGGAAGTTCATGGTTATCAAATTAAATTTCTAAATTTTTATTTTATTTTATTTTTTAAAAAGCAAGTACAGTATATTATAGGGGTGCATAAAAGAACCGTGGAACCATGAAAACAGAACCGAACCGTGGGTTTCGGTTCCGGTTCTCACGATTCCGGTTCTTAATTTCGAAACCGTGGGTGTATGTTTCCGTTTTCGGTTCCAGCCTGTGGGAACCGGTAAGAACCGGAACTGTATATATATATATATATATTGTCTTAGTAACTAAACAGTTCTAAGCCTTATGAGGCCTACAAGCAACCACGTGGTCCACATACTCCACACTAATGACTAAACCACAAAACAAAACTCAAAAATTGAAAATTTGAAAACTCATCTAAACCTTAAGTCTCATATCTACATCTCAAGCTAACCCTCGCCTCCGCAGTCCCCTCATCGCCCAGTCCTCATCTCAAGCTAACCTTTTCTTCTTCAATCCCAATCTTAATCCTCAATTCACAAGTTGAATCTTTTCTATCCCTAACTAATTCATTATCATTCTCTGGAATTCCCACATGGGTTTCTTCCAAAACCTCCGGGTGGTTGAGATTAGGCTTCGGCGAGGGTGTGAACGGAGTTGTTCCGATGATTCCGTCTGGAGCTAACCCTCGCCTCCCTAGTCGCCGAATCTCAAGCTTCCTCGAATCCTCATCGCCCTTGGCAGTCGGTGCCTCGCCTTCTCTTATCTTCAAATCCTCTACACTCAGTCGATTCAAATTTCATCCTCATACCTCATCCTCTCTTCTGTAATCTGTATCGCGGTTTACACTGTTACACACCATCTCAGACTTCTCCAATTTATATTGCGGCTTACACTGTATTCTGTATTTATATTTATATATTTTTTATTGTATTCTGTTAAGTAATGGAACAACACTAACAGTCGGTTCTCATGGAACCGAACTGAGTTCCGGTTCCCTTTTTAATTGTGAACGATTTCGATAACCGGAACAATACGGAACTGAACCGTGTGCACCCTAGTATATTAAATGGAACCCACGTGGGACACTTTTGCTGACCACAAGAGTTGGTAGTACCAATACTTAATTTTCTAAAAAAAATCAGAACTCCATAATTATCACGGTAGATAAGTAATTACTTACATACTCAAGTATATTGCACGGGACATCGGAATGAAAAAGAAATTCAACCTCACCATTCTTCGTGAAGTCTCAAATCACCTGCAAATAACACAAAAAAATGAATGACAAATTGAAGAATTCAAATGAGCCATAAACATTTATGTCACTCAAAGCTAGTTATTGTTACTTGTTCACAAATTGATCGCATTAAGTTTTCAAACCATAATCATAATCAACGTTATTTGGAAAATGAACATCTAAAAAATAAGAGCAGAATTGTAGAAAATGTGATCTACACTCTTTATTAATAATGCTTCTTCTGCTATAGGTTAAATTGTTGTGGTTCAGTTCGCCGGGCATCAAGAGCATGTCGGCGCTAGGGTTCTTGTAAAAGAGAGAGAAGGAGAAAGAAGAGAAAGGAGAGAGAAAGGAGACAAAATAATAATAATAATATTTTTCTTTCAAGTGATTTTTTTTTTTTTTTGGGTTAGGTTGGGTTGGGTTCGAGTTAAGCCCAAGCCCACCCCGAACATGTTTGGGTTTTGCTACTGCTACTGCCACTGCCACTCCTACTGCTACTGCTACTGCTACTGCTACTGCTACACTGCCACTACGACTCCTACTTCTACTCCTACTGCTGCTGCTGTTGCTGCCGCCGCTGCCACTGCTACTCCTACATTGCCACTGCCACTACGACTCCTGCTGCAACCACCACCACCACTACTACGACCACCACCACCACCACAATTGATTATTTTTTATTTATCTATTTATTAAGCACAATTGAACTCCAGTACTTTGAAGAGTTTTCGTCATACCACTCCATCTTAACTTTTCGACTTATTTTATTTTATTATTATTTATTTATATATCTATTTATTAAGAACAATTGAACTCCAGTAATTTGAAGAGTTTTCGTCATACCACTCCATCTTAAATTTTCGATTTATTTTATTTTATTTTATTTTATGGAAAGTCATTTACTAATTTTTTAAAATTGAATTAATAATTTAATATTTCCGATGTATAATAATTATATAAATGTAAGAAACTTCTATCTAAGTCAGGATTTACAGTTGCGGAAGATTAACGGGCAGACTTGAAGCGGTAAAGCCGGCACCAAAATCATATTCGTCTGTTCCTTCGATTTCTCAGACACTCTCCCTTTCTCTCTCTATCCCTAAATACGCGCCAACACACACAGCACTAACAACCATCTCTCCTTTCCCTCTTTCTCTCTCGCTCACTCCTGCAAAACCATATATAAAAGGGCCTTGGTTTTTGTTACAATGAAGAGGAGCAAGTCGTTTCGCTGTTTTCGACCGGTCGTCATCGACGACGACGACGGTTCCGTGCTCAATTCAAACCGTAAGGACGTCCCCGGCGATCTGGTTTTTACGTGTTTGCCCACTACCGACGGTGACGAAGGACACAATAACAATACTACAATGGTGATTCCGAAACTTCCCGACGACAACGTAGACCTCTCTATTCGCTGCCTGAATGAAAAGTCTTCCTGCAGAAGTTTTTCTCGCGTCCTAAAGGCGGTCTTGTTCGAGACTTCTCTGGTTAGTACTTTTTTTTTTTTTAAATTTTTTTTTTTATTTGTGTGTTGCATATCTACTTGATTCCCTTTTATCTCCAATTTATTGTTTTTTTTCTATCATTCCTTTTATTTTTGTTGCTCATAATCTGTTTTTCTTTAATTAATTCTGGTTCATATTATAATCGGTCAATTGATTAAATTTTCTAATGGTTTGTTTTCAGTTTTTTTTTTTTTCAAAGAAAATAAAGAGTTTTTGATCTCATAAAATTATTTTGCATCAGATTCAAAAAATTAAAAACTGTTTCATATTCTTATTCTCTCAAAACTAATTATTAAAAATTAAAATTTGATAAATGATCCAATCAAACCCTAGAGTTTCGTAGATGTTCATTTGAGTTTCATGCATGTCAAAAAAAAAATTAAAATTAAATTGAGTTTCGTAGTTCTCATATGTTGTTTGGTGTTTATGATGATATTGACTTGTTCAATTCATTCTTTTTAATTGATTTTAGATATTTTAATGTTTAATAATTTTTTCTCATGCATTGATAGGCGAAGAAGATTCGCCAGAGAAGTGCAGGTCGGGAAAATCCACGAAGTACCACCAACTCATCAACGAAAACCAACAAAATTGCAATATCACTCAAGGAAAGGAATTTGCACAGAGATCAATCGTCAGAGGGTCATGTCAACTGCAAAATAGATCCAAACAATTCTTCTTCGGGACATTCATCATCATCGTCTATTTCACTATGTTGTTCATGTTCGTCATCAATTCCTTCGAATCCGAGGTCCTCCTCCGAAAGAAAAAGATCGTTTGGTGCAAATCCGAATCCAAGCGAATCAAAACAAGTGCAGCATGTACAGGCTACTTACTGTACTTTGAATATTCCAAAGAAAAAGATCGAGGGATGTTACGGTTCCGAGACTGGATTGTGTTTACTTCTTATATGTCTGTTGGTTTTGGTCTTCTGGGGCAAGGTTTGTGCCATATTCTGCACTTCGACGTTGCTATACTTCGCCCCTGCCCGGAGTCAAAGGGTTGACTCGCCGGAAAGACGGGTTGACTTGCCGGACGTAGATTCAAAGAAGTACAAGAAGAGAGTCGTCATGGAAGGACTGCTGGAGAGAAATAGATTGTAGTTGGGTATTAAGTTATTACAGCATGATAGTCTTTGTATAGGATATTTGGAGAAACGACTTTGAAGAGTTCAAAGTTGGTTAAAGTGAAACCACTTTGATGCGTCAATTTTAGCGTCCCCGGTATTTTTTAGTTTTTTTTTTGCTCCTCACATTTTGTAAAGGGTTGAGTAAAATTCTCTTCCTTGTTTAAAAAGATGTAGAATATTTTTTCTTATGAAATGAAAGCTATTAAGGGTAAATATATTTTTTAGTATTATTTTATGAGTAGGTAAATACATTTATACATAATTTATAAATTCACCTGATTTATTGACTCGCATTTTTTTTTTTTTTAAAGATAGAGAAGTTATACCGATTATTAGTTAATTAAAGACAAATTATACATACTATTACTTAGTTAAGGATAAATTATACCAATTATTACTTGATTAAGTTGGTGGAGTTATAGTCTAAAAAGGCTGCTTAACCATAGACATTATGTATTCCATGGTCGCCCCATACTTTTCAATCTATGACCTAGGACTAGAATGCTGAGAAGGGGTTGTTAGGCTTAGAAGTGCCGTTTTCTTTGAAGAAGCCAAGACCATACATTGGAAGACCCTTCTCTAGTCAATTGGTCGTATATATTAGCACTGTTTTTTGACTGGAGGGATTTGGAAGAAAGGTTGTATGGGATTTTTTTTTATTTTTTATTTTGGCCCTTTTGTATTTTCAACTCTTACAATTAAACATTTTGTTAATTTTATATCTACTGTATATTTCTCCATTGAGGAAAGGACAATCTCTCCCTCTCTCACTCATGATGATTTTGGCGTTTTCAAATTATTGTTTAAACGAAGGGCAATCTTTGAGATGTAACCCTGATGTTAGATTATTTATAGCACATCTGTCTGATATACAAAAGGACAGGGAGAGGGATTTGAATCTTTTTGCTGTCAACAATATTGTTGACTAACTTCAACACAATATTGTTGACTAGCCATTAAACAAAAAAAATAAAATATATTGTTGACTAACAACCGGCCATAAACTCCCCCGCACTTAAAAAAGTGGGTGGGATTTGAGTTGGGGTGACAACCAAAATATGTGGTAGTATTCTACGTCGAAATTCACGTGCAAAAAGTGAATATGCATAAACGGGTCGATATATGATATTACTTAATCGTTTAAAATGTTGGGAAAATTACATGTACATGGAGTCAAAGTTTCATATTTACTTAGAGACTGAGTCAAAATTCTATATTTCTCTAAAATGGATTGCTGAGGTGGCACATGATTTTTTACTGTTTAGAAAATTGTGGTGCCTAAAATGCCCTTCCCTAACAAAAAAGTAGTACCTTCAGTGCAAAAAAGTAGTACCTTCAGTTCAAAAAAGTAATACCTTCGGAGAAAAAGTAGTACCTTCGCGGGTGTTTAAAAAACATGGTACCTGGACGCCAAAAAGTAGTACCTTCAGTTCAAAAAAGTAGTACATTCGAAGAAAAAGTAGTACCTTCGAAGAAAAAGTAGTACCTCCGTGGAAGGGTATTTTAGGCACCACAATTTTTAAACAGTAAAAAACCATGTGCCACCTCAGCAATCCATTTTAGAGAAATATGGAACTTTGACTCAGCCTTTAAGTAAATATGGAACTTTGACTCCATTTATTTGTAATTTTCCCTAAAATGTTAAATAAATAGATAAATGATCATTTGTTATAATTAGTATTAGAGTCAAATTCTGTTTTTTATTTTATGCTACGTCTAGTGTCTAGCTCAAAAAGGCGTCAGAGTGAACCACCCGTGTAAATGCCCGGAAGGCGTCAAGGTGATCCAATCGCAACGAGAACGTTACGAATTCAGGTAGGGGAACTTGTATCACATCGGATTTGGATGAAAAAATAAATAGGTGGGTATATACTATCACCCAATAATTTAAATTTTTTGATAAATGAATAAGTGTTCACCCGTGACAAGTCAAACTGCTGCCAACCACTTGATGGTTGCTATAGAATGGACACTGGTTGGCATGGGATACCTTTATGTGTGATTTTTTAAATAGTAAATTGGATTTATTTTTTTATATAATTCTGATTAATCATAACATGACACAAACAATGCGATAACTTTATTTAAGTTTTTGCTTACTTGTTTGTACTATGAATGGACGGAACTATATGATCCCGAATCATATTCTTTTTAAGTAGATAACATGGAAGATTGTGGAAATAAATTATGATAATAAGTATGCAATGAATTTTTAAAATGAAGTTTTTTATTTTTTTGAATAATGCACTCAAGATAATCTTCTTATGAGAACTGCGACAAACTCTATTTTTAATCATTAGATTAGATCCATTATTTTAAGAAACCTGAAAAGTTAAATGAATTATTTAATATTGATAGACTTTTACGACTCTATTCATGGGAGGGTTCTCCTAAAAGTAAGGGTACAACTTAGGTGGATTGAACAAATTTGAAGTATAATTTGAGCCTAACTCACAATATGAAATGTTAAAATCCAAGCTCAACCATAACCTCATCTTTAAACCGAACTACTCAACTTGAACCCAGTTACTCAAATAGCTAATCTTTTAACCGAAAATTTAATATGATCTTGAATTAGTTTTAAATTAAATTATTATTTAAAAATAAATAAATAAAAGACTTTTTATAAATTACAAACAATTTTTTAGAAAATTAATTCTTCTAAATGTTAACATATAATAAATTAAAAATTAACAAAAGAAGTTGAAAAGAAAAAATAATAATTCAAACCCGCAAAAAATCGGACTGAATTAGGATTGAATTTAGTTACCAACCTAAGTTGCACCCTTACTTAAAAGCATTATTTTTCTTTCCGTAGATTGGCTTTAACAGACAATTTTCTTTTGGAATACATACAGTTATCAAAATAACATGCATACACTTCAGGAGCCAGGATTTTGAAGCAAAATTCCGGGACAGTCATACACCATAGGTTTTTATATGGATACAGTGATAGACGTATCTTATGATTATTTTAATTTAAAATTAAAATAGAAGAGCAAATCATGTTTGACATAATTGCAACCGTACTAGATATATACTACCATGAACTTAAAATTTCAGAAGTTAATATATATATATATATTTTTAAAGAGATTTGCAAACATTGTTGCGCAACCAATTTTTGAATTGTCAATTTCAAGTATTGCTCTTTTTGGACTTTTTTTTTTTTTATTTTTTATTTTTTTTTATGTCCGGATATAGATCAAATAATAAATATTTGTTTGTTATTTCTTTGCGAGCTGCCCAATCAATTCGTTATGAAATACTATTTAATTTTGTGCTATTACTCAATCAATTAGTTATGAAATACTATTTAATTTTGATGAAATACTATTTAATTTTGTGCATATCCATATCTACGCGCGATTCGTTGAGACAAAAAAAGAATATATTCGATAATTTTGTGCATATCTATACTATTTAATTTTGTGCATATCTATACTATTTAATTTTGTGCATATCTATAAGAAGAGAATATATTGGATGTGTCGGTGCACTGAGCCATCACAATCGTTCATTTTCGTTTATGCATTACACCATCACTTTATCGCGAAAATATATTCATAAGGCCATCACATCCGTCACTTTATCACGAGAAAATATTCATAAGGCCATCACAACCATTCATTCTCGTGCATACACCACACGCGCGATTGTGATGTGTCCGGTTACCTTCTCTTTTCTTGAACATTTTCTTCTACAGTACCTCCAAGGGCCATAACATTGAAAGCATTCAAAAATCAAATTTGTTTTTACATGGACTAAAATAACTTATTTTGATTTTTTTAAAACTCATATTGTAGGGTGGATTTCAAAGAGTTGAAGTTTTTTATAAGGCCATCACAACCGTTCATTCTCGTGCATACACTACACGCGATTGTGATGTGTCCGGTTACTTTCTCTTTTCTCGAACACTTTCTTCTATGGTACCTCCAAGGGCTGAAAGCATTCAAAAATCAATTTTGTTTTTACATGGACTAAAATAACTTATTTTGATTTTTTTTAAACTCATATTGTAGAGTGGATTTCAAAGGATTGAAATTTTTTATATGCCACGACCCATAGTGCATTTGATTAATTAATAAAAGGAAAAATAAAAAGATTAATAAAAATAAAATAAAATCAAATACAAAAATAATTTAAATCTTTAAAAATTTCATTACAGAACTTCGTGACCAATGATATCTAACCTATTTTTCAAAATAAATAAGGAAAATTAAGTCGGTAGTAAGAATTTAAGTTCGTAAATTTCTCTAATTTTTAAAAATAAAAGTTTTACTTTCACGTTAAATAAATACTTATTATATTTGAATGTCAACTTCTTATTTTCTTTTATTTCTTTCCTTCCTTCTTCTTATTTTCTTTTATTTCTTTCCTTCTTTCTTTCTTTCTTCTTCTTCTTCTTCTTCTTATTTTTTTATTTTTTTATTTTTAAATGTTACACATATTTCTAAAAATTACTTTTATTTATTTATTTTTTTAACGTTACACATATTTCTAAAAATTACTTTTATTTTTTCCCCATTTTTTTGGATATGGATGAAAATAAAACCATTCATACCTCGGACTGCAGTCTGCGGTGCCACTGCCAAGTAGAGTAGTTGGCCATGGTAACCAAATTCATGCTCCGACCTCACTCTCTCTCCTTCACCTTCGTCTCTCCAACACGTTTGTTCCCCAAGCCTTCACTCACCACTCCCGTAACTCTCTCTCTCCTCTCTTCTGCCACTAACAACGCCATGACCACCACTGCAACCCTAACCACAACAACATTCGAAGAAGAATTCCCATATGGACCCTCCCTCCGAAAAGGTCACATACCCTCGCACCAATCTCAACCACGCATTGAACCCAAGTACCAAGAGCAAGTAGAAGACGATTTAATCGATGAAAATAGCTTCAGTCGTGTTTTCGACATCTCAGCCCTTCGAGTCCCCTCCGAACAATGCTTCGACCTCGAAAGCCGCCTCCGAGGCCACCTCCTGAACTGGCCGCGCATTCGCAACATCGCTAGGGTTCCGGGTGACGACATGGAGGATGATTTTAAGAAGCTTCTTAGTGATCATAGCAATTCTAGCAATTATAATTCTAATTCTGATGATGACAGTTCTGAGAGGTTAATCGCTTTGAATCGTCGAATTCATGGAAAAGCTGACGGAGACGGCGACCCACTGAGTCCAGTGCTGTATAGAGATCTGCTTGCGAAGAAGTTCAATTCCCGGGGGTTCGTCAAGTTCAGGAATTTGGCGAAGCTGTCAAGGCCGAAGAAGACGAGGAAGAAGAGAGAGGATGAGAGAGAGAAGAAAGGGATTGGGAAAAATGGGTTTGCTGCTGTGGTGGAGATTGTTGAAGAGAAAGAAGAGGAGGGGGAGGACTTAAGTGGGCTGTTGGGGGGTGAGTTCAAGGGGAGGAAATGGAGGGGCTCAACAAGGTTGTTACTTTTGGATGAGCGGTATGCCACCACAGGCTTGGATGAGTTGCCTGAGGCTATCAAGGTCTCTACTCTGTTTCCAACACTTTTTGATCCTCTGTGAGTTCACTTTATTTTTATTTTTTTTCCTTTATGTCATAATCCTATAATTGCTTCCAATATGATATAGGATAATGATCAATATTACAACCACTTCGAACCCACCCATTCTTATTATTGTTGTTAACATGGTGGCATTTCTAAAAGGTAGACTGCTGAAATTGGTGGTACTATGTGTGATTATTAGCTTTACACCTTTCTGAAAAATGCTGATCATGTGGAGTATCTATTACATGATTGATTGCCTATGTCAGTGCCTGATATGTTGTTGTAATCAATCATCATCATCATCATCATCATCATCATCATCATCCTTGCCATAATCCCATATGAATGGGGTTGGCCATCATTAACAATATTTTTGTAGAGAATTTTCACAGGCATATCGCTATCCTTGTTATGTTGCAGCAATGCAATTTAATTTTGTAGATTCTCTATTGACTTTTTGAGTAATAATACATCAGATTTCCCCCCTCCCCCTGTTTTAATCTTACATACCGTAGCCAATACTATTTCAGTAATAAACTATGTATACATCAAGAAACAAAAATTCAAATTGAATTGCTGGCTTGTAATAGAAAGCATTTAAATGATCTGGGGCTATATGATCCTTAGAAATCTTAAAGTATGCCATATGATTTGGGACCTTGTTGCTTACAAATGAGGTATCTTTTGTGCATCATAAGCTCACCCACAAATTGCCCCACTGCTTTGACATCCTAGATTCATTGATTCATTTGGGTTTTTTATTTAAAGCAATCTTATTTCAGTTTGGTAAATTTCCTATTATTCTACTCAACTGAGATCGAATATATGATATATTTTATATTTCTAAGTTGGGTTTTGACGTTACATCCAATATTATAATTTTATTCTTCAGGCCGTGTTAAAAGATGATGGCAGACAAAATACAACATCAACTTTTGAGCTCGTGAGATGCAAGGTTACTTTGTTTTATAAATACTGGCAGATGAATGAGGTATCTAGCACAATCAAGTGTTGTACTTTTCTTCTTTGTCTTTCTGTGTTTTTCCTGTACGTAACACATGATCAGTGTAATCAGAAGTCAAATTGGCATTCCATGATTTTAGCTACCCTGTAGGATTTGTACAAGGATTTTGTCCTCTGGGTGTTTTTAGTAGGATCACAATCAAATTTCACTATTTTTGGATTGTAAAATGTAGTATCTGGATTGGAATTTTAGCAATCATAATTGTTACCAGTTGTGCTATGTGTGATAATATGTCCTCTGTCCAAGACTACCACACTTGAACATCAAGCATTATGTACATGAGTGTTTTGAAAGGATCATTCTTGTACACTTGGAATTGGGGTTCTCATATCCTTCTTGTGCGCTCTGCATGCATGTGTTATTGTGGGGCACAGGCAGTCTGGAAGGAAATAAATATGACTATAACCTTGGGAGACTTATTATTTTAGAAATCACTAGGATATCTGTAAATTCAGTTGGATTTACATGGCTTGTGTATTTCTCACAGATTCTAGAGGCCATGCTACCAAAGAGTATGATTGTGCCTTCAGCTTTTGAAACGGTTGGGCATATTGCCCATCTGAACCTGAGAGATGAACATCTTCCATACAAGAAGCTTATTGCGAAGGTAATTACTTTTAGAAATATTATTACATTTTTGATAATGTATTGTCCAAATTGCGTGGCTTTGTAAGCATTCTTATAAACTGTCTCTAACAGTCAAAGTTGTTTTTCTCATCAGGTAGTGTTGGACAAAAACAGGCCAAAGATTCAAACAGTTGTCAATAAGATTGATGTCATTCATAATGACTATAGAACGATGCATCTTGAAGTTTTAGCTGGAAATTGTTCCCTTGTGACTACAGTAGTTGAAAATGGGCTGCGTTTTCATGTTGATTTAGCAACAGTGTATGCTCTCCTGTCTTGCTAGCTGTTTGGAAATTAAACAAGAATTTAATGAATTATTTCTATTTTACATGCGGACAATATCATATCATTAGTCAAAAGCCAATATGTTACCACTTAATTCAGTAAACTATAACCACAACATTTTTTTTTAGTCTTCTTCTTCTTAGTCAAAAGGCAATATATTAACATCTAATTCGATAAATCTATAACCATGCACTTCGTCTTCCTTTTTTCTTCTTGTGGTGTCAAGTTAAATCCTTATTTGCTGATCTGTATTGAGATGGTGATAGTTCCATCTTGAACAAGTTTTATGAGGTCATTTTCTCTGTCTTCCTGTTCTTCTTCATATTTCTTTCTTTCTTTTACATTCTTCTTCATCATCTTTGTTTTGTTTTTCTCCTTTTTTCTTTTTTCTTGTCTTTTAAGCTAAAATACATGTTTGCTGATATGTATTGACATAGTGATAGTTCAATCTTGAACAAGTTTTATGAGGTCTTTGTGTCTGTCTTACTCCGTGCATGCCAGCACCCATGTCGGTTTCATTGTTACATAGCCATAAGCATGATTGGCCAATTTATCAACAAGTTTATTTCTCTGATGTACTTATTTGGGTTCAATTAGTTATACTACCTAACATTTAGAAGTGTGAACCCACACATTTTCACCTCCAATAGAATGAGAACCCACACATTTTCAGTTGACCTCTTAGGTTGGTGCAAAAGTGTAAATTGCTACTTTTGAATGATGGAGCAAAAGTGTGAATTATGTGGAGCACTGTGGACGAGGTTCGAAAGTATTAAAGTGGACTACTATAATTATGGGACGTTAATTTTTGGTATTTTGAGTTTTGACCAATAGCCACCCGTTTCTGGGATAAATTTTGGCATTTCAATTAGGATGTGATCTTCTCCTTGAGGAATATTTTGTAAGTAGGTGGTTTCTAGTGTGTGATTATTTTATATTTACCTTTTAGATGAAGTTATTGATCAATAATCATTTTGCATTATGAGAGCCATTTTGATGTACTTTAGCTTATCAAATCTCTTTTTATGTCTGTAAAAAATATGTCCATCATTTGTTTTAAAATTTACATGGAACACCAACTTATATGTGAAGCCTGCTGTAACTATTTGTGCACAAGTAGTCAATATATTTTAGACCACTTTTCAGCAGGGACCTTTTGATTTCTAGAAGTAGAGAAAAATGGGTCTGAATTCTAACGTTTATATGTTGATAGGATCTAATTTTTGTATAAATTTTTAATTTCAATTTTTAATTTTCAGGTATTGGAATTCAAGGCTTGCAACCGAAAGACAAAGGCTTCTAAATTGCTTCACAAGCAAAGATGTTATTTGTATGTTCATTTGTTGGCTTGGTTGAATTACATTACTAATTTTTTTAAGTAGCACGGTGCCACAGTCCATTCTTTGCAGTCATTTATATTAGTTACTAGTTACTTTGTTTCTGATATTGGACCTCATTCCAATTACTGGTGGTTAGCTTTGTATAAAATCTCTTCTTCTTTTTCTGCAATTTTTTTTTTTTCCCCTCTTTTGTTTTTATTACTCACAAACTCCAGCAGTAGCACTGGCACCTCATTGAGACATACTAAAATCCAGTTTGGAATGTTGCCAAATAGTGTAGCATTGCAGAGAATTTAGAAGCCAACCTGATAATTGGTGCACTGAATCAGTTCTTTGTTCGTTATGTCTATAATCTTCATTTGTGTATAAGATTTCTTTGTAGTTGACCATTTTTAGCCTTTTTGCTCGGGAATAAGAGTGTTGCAGACCTCAGTAATGGACCAGAGTCATTTCATTGTCCATTGATTTGACTGTTTTTAAATTCATTCCTGTTTTCTTATACAAATTTAGTTGGTGACAAAAACATGCTTGGTCTTAGAGTTGCCTCTCCACCATTTTTTTTCATTTATAAATGAAACATCTGTTCTGGACTAAAGCCACACCATCTTTCTGGGATTTATTTCAGCATGCTGCAATATTATCTGGAGAATATGTCTTTGCATTTTTTTTTGTTCTTTACCATCTTAAAGCTAGAATTTGCTTCATTTTGTACAATTTTACTTATCAAAAAAAGAATTTGCTTCATTTTGGAATTTCTACTACCTTCTTTGTTTTCTCGCAAATATTGAATTTCTCTATCTGAAAATGGTTTGATATGAATATCGAGCTTACCTGTGTGCGTTGGTCCTCTTTCTACCTTTTCCTGCAATTAATAGGTGATGTTTTCGCTGGAGTTGGTCCTTTAGCTATATCTGCAGCGAAGAAAGTAAAACGTGTATATGCTAATGACTTAAATCCTTATGCGGTCGAATATCTGGAAAGAAATTGTGTCCTCAACAAACTTGAGAGGAAGATTGAGGTATGAGTTCAGTTATTTTCTTGCAACTAGTTTTTCAGTTATTTATTTATTTATTTTTTACCTTCTTGAATTGATCCATGTTGAGATAATTTAGGGAAATGGGAGGAGTAAGTGTGAGTTGAGGAGTTAAGGAAAAACTTGGTAGCACATGGTTTTATTGAAAGTACGGCCTAGAACTAAATGGTGAAACAACTATTATGTAGCCAACTCAAAATAGTTGAGACAGAACATTGTAGAGTTTATTATACCGTCTTAATTAAAAAAAGAAAAGGAATTACCCGAATCTTAAGTGTTATCATTATTACCAGATTTTCTTTAAAAACTCTTTTATTGTGATAGCTGAAGAGATGGCATGGACAACAATTTTCTATATTGATTTTCAGAAACTGGAGAAAATGCAAGAATTCTTTTGTTGGATTGTTTGGCATTTCTGCTTGGGCTAGGAGGAAATAATGTCCTAATCTGTCATTACGTAATAATATTAGCAAACCCCAGAAAAAATGTCTCATTTTGTCATCACGTGGTTGAATTTGCAATCCCCTTCCTTTTCTGAACCTTGAAGGTAGCTTGCTTTTTAAGTTTCTGAATTTGCAATCCCCTTCCTTTTCTGAACCTTGAAGGTAGCTTGCTTTTTAAGTTTCTGTGACTTTCATATTTCTTGAAGTGATATGCCATTAAGCCAGAGATCCTCTCGTGTTGCCTTATGCACATTGCTATGCATAAAATAGCGTCCGTTTGAAGTTTTTCAATGCATTATCCTGGTATAAACTTTATCTCAGGATTTGGAATTTATGATAATATATATAGACCTGTTAAAAAATAAAGCTATAGTTGCATTTCATTGTGGAACTCAAATATTTTGTCAATTTCTAGGTATACAACATGGATGCGAGGAGGTTCATTGATGCTTTATTTGCAAGTGAGAAAGCCCAATCCATCACACAAGTGGTTATGAATCTACCAAATGATGCTGTAGATTATCTAGGTATGTCGTTGGCCATATAATTTAGTCATTTTAATTCTCTTACTTTTTGTATTGATATGATATTTATTTAGATGTTCATGAGGATTGTTTAGAGTTATTAAAAGTTAAAACTCTTGTTTCCTTGGACTTCAAAAATATTAGAAGTTAATTATTGCTTTCTTATCAGGCTTAAAAACAGAAATACTGCTATCAACTTAGGAAGGTGAAGTATTGTAGTTTCAAGGTGGTAGTGTTTCCTCAAATCCTTTATGAATAAGGGTTGTGGGAATGATTTAACTACAGAAATTTCAAAGTGAGATTCAGTCACAATTTAAAGAATTTAGGTGATTTTTCAGGATTAGGGTTGATGAATAAGGTTTGCCAGCTAAGAAGCACAAGCACTTCTACAAAGGTGCCGTATTAGTGTTGGACAAGTGTTTAAAACTGACAGATCAAGGACGCTCCTAGACAAGTTTCCAATATTTCATGAAAGTGTTTATTATTTTAAAAGAAATTTCATTATTTCAGACCCTCAACAGACACATTTTGAACACTTGGCCGACACTTAAAACTACACATTTTTGCGTAGGTAATAGAGGTCTCTTTATGATAAAATACATTGTGATACTAAAGATTAATTTTGTTTTTTTAAGCGTCATTCCATCATTACTGTGGACGATGGAGTGTGTCTGTGGGATTAGAAACTTCAATGCACTAGATAGCATTATCTGGCTTTAGTTGTTTTTGTTGATTTTATTTTTTTCCTGATTATATTGCCATATTTATAAGGAGGAGCCTTTTATTCTGTCACAATGTAGCATGTCTGGTGCTCTGCTATTGGCAACTGGTTTTGAGAGCTTTGTTTGTTCCAAAGTGGAAATTGCAGTCACTCCCAATTTCTTGTTCTATGGATTCAGCATTCAACTATTTGACTCTCTCTCTGTGTGTGTGTTTTGCCCAATATTATCAGATGCATTTAGGGGAATATTCAGAAAATTGCCGAAGGAGAAAGATTTCACCTTGACCTTGCCGAAGATCCATGTTTATGGATTCTCTAAAGCCCAAGATCCAGAATTTGACTTTCACGAGGTATGTTTTATTTCATATCGCTATCAGCTTTAACTTTTGCAAGGCTAAGTGACTGCAATATATATTCTTTCTTTCTTCTCCTTTCTTGCTTGCTTATGAATTACTCGTAAATGCAGCGGATAAGAATTGCATTATCAGAGGTGGCGTTTGAGGTAGAAATGCGTAGAGTCCGTCTTGTAGCACCAGGAAAATGGATGCTTTGCGCATCATTTATCCTCCCTGAGACCGTGGCATTTGCAAAAACAATGTCAAATACGTAAGTTATTGGGTTTGAAGCTGAGGTTGTTCATAAATGACGCCATGTAACATTAATTTCATTAATTATAATTTATATTCGTAGTTGTTAAATCTCTTGCAACTAACCAAGGAGAACAATTTTTTATTGTTAAAAAATCGAACAGGGAAATAGTGTTGCAATTTATGATGATCAGTGAAAGCCCACTGAAATTCTTTCCAAATCGATCCACTTTCTTGAACTGCTAATATATGTATTTCCTATTTCATTTTTCCTTTCTTTTTGCTTCTACTGGAGGCCAATTTTAAATGTAGTTTGATTTAAAATTGAGAAATACAAAAATAAAGTAAAAACTGTAAAATACTGACGATTCATGATAATTAGGAAAAGATCAGGAAAATAATATTGTAAATTCTTTAGAATGAAAATGATAACAGTGGATGACTTTTTCTACTCTGTGTCCACTGTATATGTATTAAGCTTGATTTTTTAATTTTATTTTGTTGGTTCGTAAAAGAGGATGTTTAGCCTTAGTCACTGCAATGGATCAGGACACGGTTATGTTTGGCTATATAAAATTGGAGCTTTAGAATTGAAATCGGTGGAATTAGAAAAAATATTGATTCAATTTTTGTAGTAATTTTTTTTCTTTTTCTTCCAATTCAGTTTTTTTTGTAGTTTTTTTTTTCTTCCAATTCTACCAATTCTATTCCAACGCTCCAAGTAGTTACCCTTTCGCAGGAGACTGTAGAGTACATGCCACATGAGGGCATAAATAGACTAAGCATTTCTTGTGGAAGGTCCCTATTTTGAGGGAAGGTAAGCAGGGACGGACCCAAATTAATCAGTTTTTACCTATTCTGGATGGTTTATCTGTCTGGTGAAATTATTGGTTTTGGTCGGCTACTGGTGAATGACTCATTATTGGGATTTGTTACAATAGATTTTATGAAAAATTATTGTTTAATTACTTGTTGAAAACATCATCATTAAATATGGAAAAAAGAAGTTTTACCTAAGCATCTATATCTTCAAAAGTAAACGTAGTATGAAAATTATTTATAGAGTTGCTAGGTCAAATAATTTAAAATACTTGCAAAAATGCGTTATTCATAAGGCATTTTGTTATATATAGTCTTGTGTGATGGAGACCTGTTAAAAAAAATTTATGTTACCAACAGGGTGGTCTAGCGGTACCAAGCACCTACTTCTCAAAGAGAGGTCAGGAGTTCGAGCCTCAGTGGAGGTATGTATGCGTGAATACCAATTAAGAAAAAAAAATAAAATTTATGTGCAGGTGAAAAAGGAAAAAAAAAAGTATAGAAAGAGAACTGGAGACTAAATAGATACATAAACATGACAGAATTTAAGTCTTTAAAAAAATTACACAATTCTAAATGTTCTAAATGGGTGCAACCCCTCGCTTGTGTTCCTATTCCACCGTAAACATGGTCACAGTTTCTGAGAAAATTTGCCAATGGAGACTTTTCCTTTCATCCTCTTTTACTCACTAATCTCATTCTCATTCTTAGAAGTCTCCACTGCAGCTGATACTTTAACTCCATACCAATCAATCACCAATGGTGAGAGTTTAGTATCCTTGGGCCAAAGCTTCGAACTAGGCTTCTTTTCTCCCAGTGGTTCCAAGAACCTGTTTTTAGGAATATGGTACTACAAGATTTCTCTACAAACCGTGGTGTGGGTAGCAGACAGAGAAAACCCGATTACAGATTCATATGGAAATTTAACTATCAACAACGATGGAAATCTCGTGCTCTTCAATGCCACAAATGGTGTCATCTGGTCCTCAAATTCTTCAACAACTGTGCATTCTTCATCAGTTTGCACAGCTACTGAATTCTGGAAACTTTGTCCTGAAAGAGAATACTGATGCTGACAGAAAGTAGCTACATATGGCAAAGCTTTGATTTCCCATCAGACACACTTTTACCTGGCATGTAGTTGGGATGGAACTTAAAAGACTGGCCTAAATGGACACTTGACATCATGGAGAGATGTCACTGACCCATCTCCTGGAGACTTCACTTTTGGAGTTGATATTACTGGGATGCCTCAGCTTGTTCTTCAAAAGGGATTGTAGGTGCAAAATTTCTCTCTATTAAAATAAATAAAAAGAATAAATATAACTCACTCAGAACAAACAAATATAATACTCAGAAACAAGTGTATAATGCTCGATACTTTTATTGGAGGTCTAGGCCTCTATTTATAAGAAACAAGGTGACAGAATTATGGTAGGACTCGCATGGCTTGTCCTCCAATTCATTCCATACATGACATTCTTTACAATTATAATCATTTCCTTTTTACAATTCTTTCCCATGCAGAACTTTTGTTGCACATAGCTTGCTTTCTTTGTTGATTTCTTTGTCTAGCGGGACTGGTCTACCTTTAATTACGATTGGGCTGAATGTGGGCTGATCCAGATGATTCGGTAAATGGGCTTGGAATTCACCCTTGGCGCCACGGGCTGTTGACGTTTGGGCTTAGTAAGTGGGCCGGATGGCCTGGGTCAGCAGTCTATATGGAAGCAAGACTTTGTTTGGGCTTGTTCCGGGCTGGGTTCTCCCAATTTGGGTTTGACACCGATTGGGCCCTTGCTGCATCTAAGATAACTTTGAAGTATGATGACGTGGACGATTCTTACTAGAAGGGGGGATTTTTTCCCTCCACACTTTGCCCCAATTTCCTCTTTAATTGGACTACGGCTCCTAATTAAAAGGGAATTGAAGTTGCACGGTTGCCAATTCTACAAAAGGCAGTTCAAGGTGTGTCCATTGCCATTCTGACTAAAAGGCCTCTTTATAGTTCGTTCCTGACTCCGCGATGTTCACTGTGCTTATTGCTTTAGCGTGATCTCAAGATAGTTCCTCATTCATTTGTTTAATTTCTTTCACACCATGAGCTCCTCATCCACTCACGACCGTATAGACCTTGTAGATTCGGATTCCACACCTTCTTCTTCGCCCAATCTCATTAGGATCCCCCCCTAGGGTTTCTGACATCATTAAATTCACAAACGATTCAGTTGTTCAAATGGATGCTTCCCCTTCACAAGCTGAAGTGTCCACTTCCAGGTCAGATTGTGTGTTTACTAAAGAGGAGAGAGAGTTGATATTGTCCGTTCGGCGTATCAAGTTCTCTATTGAGTCTATAATAGAGGATTATGAGATTCCTGATGGGGTAGACATTGTCGAGTACCCAGAAGGGGTTGATTTCAGCTCCGACGTAGGGGACAATGAATTGTTTGGGACAATGAATTGCTTCTATCAGTTGGGCACCTTAACGCTATTCAGTTCCCTCTTCACCCTTTCGATCATCTAGTTTTCAATAAGTTAGGACTTGCCCCTCTCCAAGTAAACCTTAACTTTTTTCGAGTGGTCTCGGCACTTCTAGTTCGCCGAAAGCTAGAGAGTCTTGACTTGACTCTTGCTGATTTACTCATTACCTACACCATCGCTAGGCATGGGACTGAGCTTAGCCCCTTTTACTTCACTTCCCCTCTTCAGCAGAGGATATGCACGGACCTCCCTTCCTCCGAGAAAAAGTGAAAGGAGAGGATGATAATTGTGAAGGGGAACTGGTTTGTGGATAAATCGAATATCCTCCCCATTCCTCGCAAATTTGGGAAGCTAGGTATAGAATATCTTCCCTCATTCCATGAAAAGTGCTCTGGTTGTTTCCCATGTCAAGTTTTATTATTTTGTGATACTTATGAATTTCTTGATCTTCTTTCAGCAACCTTCCCCTCTTCCGCAGCTAAGAAGAGACTCGCTTTTCTCGAAGCACAAGTTTGGAGCAAGCCCCCCTCTGTTGAGGAGTTATTCACTTCATCCAACCTTCAAGAAATTACTTCCAGTGCTGTAGTTGCAGACCTTATGGATTTGGCACTTCCATCTTTTGACAGCTTCCCCTTAACTAAGGAGGAAAAACAGAGGGTTGAAGCTCTGAAGAAGAAAGTTGCTGAAGAGCAACCTTTGTTGGTCATCAGATCGACTGAGCATGAGAAGGAGGTGGATGAACCTCCTCTCAAGAAGACAAGGTCAAACCCTCTTTCCAGCAGCAAGGGCAAGAACATCCCCAAAAGTAAGGGGAAGAAGGCTGGGGAGACTGACCCGAAGGAGGAAGTCCGGGGTTATGTTCAAGCCGAGTCCGGAGAACCTTGGAGACTTGTCTTCTCAAGGGCTGACAAGTTGATCCTTCATTCCGGGGATTCAATAGTCTCTGACCCCTCTACTGCCTTGGCAGTTGCTCGAGGGATGTGACTACCCAAGGATGAAGAGATCATTGGGAATCTGGGGTTGGACCAGCTGCTATCATCTGCCCCAGTTAATGCTGTGAAGGTTTACTCTTTTCCCCCCACTTGCTTAATTCTTCAGATTTCTTCTCACCGCATATTTACTGATATTGTCATTGTTGATCATGTAGAGTCTGTACCAGACTATGGCACTGTGTGCCATTGCTGAAGCTCAGTCTTTTTCTATTAAGAAACTGGAAAGGGACCTGGGCAATGCTGAGAAGAAGGCTTCGCATTTTGCTATGAATGCGAAGATTGCTTCTGATGCGAAGGATGTCAACAAGAATCGCCTGGCAGCTTCTGAGGCAAACGTGGAGACTCTAGAAGCTGAAGTCCAGCGCTTGAATGACGCCATTGGTACTTGCATTACTACTGGGAGGCAAATGCAAGGACGCTATTCCACCATTGTGCGCTTATCTAGTGTAAAGGCTTTTAGGTTCGGCTTCAGCCAGGGCTCTGGTGACAAAATAAAGGATCCAGAAACCTTTGATGCTGACATAGAAGTGTCCTTCCCTTACACTGAGGGTCCAAAGGCCCAAGAGGCTGATGTGCTCTTTGCTGAGATGGTAAAGGCTCATCTAGAGGATCATCTAACTTCAAGCTTGCCAGCTCCTCCATCTTCTGACCTTCCAGCTCCTTTATTCACAAGTCCGAATGTTGTGGATGCCTTTGACTCTGCTCCCTTTGATCCAAAAAGGAAGTAGAGTTGTGTAACTTTTTTTTTTTTTTGAAAGAGTGAATGTAGAAACTATATATTTTTGCTCTTGAAATGCAATGACTACATTTATTCTGAAG